GTCCTTCCCCGTGTCCACCCGGGTCCTGCCCGGCTCCCACTGCTGGGGTCTTCGGCCCCCCCATCCCCACGGGCCTCGGGAAGACCCAACACACAGAAGCCTCGGGCCTTGCTGCTGGGTGACCCGACTACAGGACGCGGGAGGCTGCTGAGGCGCGAGGCCCGGCCCTTCGCGGGCAGGACAGTCCCCGCTGCGGCGCGAGGGAGGAGGCAGGGAAGAGGGAGGGAGACCGGGCGCTCGTCCGCAGGTCGGGTCAGCGCCGGCCCCAATCCCGTCGGCTCCGCTTGAGGCGTCGCCGCCGTGACCGAGGCCGCACCCGGCGCGCCTGGCTCCCATCTTATCCCAGGCGTCCACTGCGCAGCTCCAGGGCCTCCTCGCCCCTGATGCCCGCCCTGCCCGGCCACCCAGACGGGGTTCCCGGCTGACTTGGAAGGCCCCTCGGGGTCGGCGCCTGAGACTGACCGGCAGCCTGACCTCGTGGACTCAGATGGGTCAGTAGACGCACAGGGCATCGCCTGTCTGGAGGGGAGGGGAAGGCCTGTCACCACCGCGCATGGGCCTTGCTGGAGAGGCGGCCGGGACATGGTGCCGGGGACACAGGCCCGGCCCCAGCTGCGCCCGGGCTCTGGGCCGGAGAAAGATGGCCTGCCCTGGCTTGGCCGGACGGGGGGCCTGCTGCCGGGAGCCTGGGCATGAGAGATGTGCTGGGGAGGTGCCCACACCTGCCCATAGCACGGCCTGAGGACCCCAGCTGGAAAGGGGACAGCACAGGGCAAGGTCGGGGTTGGACACGGGGGACCACGGGCAGGGTTGGGGGAATGCGCTCAGAGTGATGAAGGTGTTGAAGGCCAGTGGCCCCTGAGGACAACAAAGAAAACAGGTGACTGTCACTCAGGAGTGGGTAGCAGGACCCACTTGCCATAACCCAGTGGCAGAAAACGGGTCCGCAGGCCCCAAGGCCTAGGTCACAGGCTCCAGGCCAGGGGGAGTGAGGGGGGCAGCTACTGTGGGGTGTCCAGGTGCAGTCCTGACGGGGAGGAAGGGGATTAAGGAACATACCACTTGTGCTAGTTTTATCACATTTCTCCGTTCAGAATGTTGACAGCCTTTTAGAAGCCAAGACAGGCACGAGGAAAGGCCCTGCAGACACAACATGCAGACACAGGCCGTTTTCTTAGTTATGCCAGGAGGGATAATTTGCACAACTGCAGTTTTTTCTCCATAGGCTTAGGGGAAAAAAAAAATCTCAAACTCCAAAAGTGCGGAGTGTTGTTGGCAGAAATCACAGGTTCCAGTTGTCACCCTACAAGCCTAAGGCTTTGAAAACAAGGTAAGTTTAGTGAGAGCAATTACAGAGGAGTCACATGGCCTCATGTATCACTTTAGGGTTGATTGTGGTCAAGCCTTCATGTTAGAAGTCAGTCCTGGGGTGCCCTGGACAGCAGCTCAAAGAGCAAATTCTACATCAAATTACAGATGACGCCTCCCCCTCAGGACAAATGGCAACCACACAGGGAAGAAAAACCCGGTAGAGTTACGTGATGCACCGAACCGGTGCTCTGACCACAGCTGCCCCTGAATGCCGACATCTTTTGGCAGCTGTGCGGTCAACATCAGTCCGTCAATGGATAAAATTCAGAGTGATTTAAGAATAGATCTCTTCCTCTGACAAGAATCACCTAAGTACCCTGAGGGTAAAGTGGCATCACGATTTTTAGATTACCTGAACAGAAGCCAGAGAGAATTCACTAGAGCCAGAGTGGAGAGCAGAACAGGCAGATCAACAAAGTACACTTCTGAGGGGAGCAGCAGGCACAACAAGAGATGTCTGCACAACATGTAGGACCCTCCCTGGTGGCCGGGGTTCGAACCGGCACTGCAGAGGCTGTGGGCAGCTTCGCAGCCCAGTGCTCAAGTGCCACACCGCCAGGGGAGGTCCTCAGCAAACTTTCAAGAAGCTTCACAGACTCAGGCTTCTCACTCTCAGTTTGTCTCATCTGCTCCCCAGGAGCCCCCAGTCCTCCCCACCCTGCCGGGCCTCAGGCCTGTGCCTATCAACCTTTGAGGCTTTTTCGCCCTTGTATCCCCCACTGTGGGGGCAGGAGCCTGTCCTCACCTCAGGCCCCTGTTTGGGCGCCACTTGCCCGAGACTGGCTGGGGAAGCGGGGATGGGGAGAGGACTCTGAGAGAACCAAGAAATAAAAAAATGACAGAATAGGGTGGAAGAGCAGCAGGACTCAGCCAGCCTTGGGATCTGGCTCAAATGTTCCGCGTGCCCAGGGTCACTCCTGTTGATTGGGCCTCCATTCCCGGGGGGGCCTAGAGCTTCAGGGGGGATGCTTCACTGGCTCCTGGGCAGCCACCCCAGCAGGCTGAGGGCACCATCCTCGCACCCTGCAGAAGTGGGAAGCAGTGTCGGGCTCAGGTCTTCACTTGGCTCCCCCTTTCCCTTATTGGGGGGTGTAGGGTAAATGGTTTTCAGGCTTTTCTGCCATCCCACCATTAGGATAATGGTATTGTTTGTACATCCCACATGATGGGAATCTGGTGCTGAGATTGGGAAGCCCTGAGCAGCTGTTCAGCAGCCTGAGTATGCTAAGAAGGCCAGTGAGTCTCTGAAAATCACCTGTGGTGGATGCCCTGCTCATTGTTGAGGGAGGATGAGGAGCTGAGGAACCCGTCCTTGGGGGAAGGTTGGGGAACGTGGCTTCTGGTGCAGCCCACAGCCAAATAGGGGAACGAGAGGCCATGTGTGAGAGCTTGTATCCATGGATCCCTGACCAATGTGCTTGTGCAATGGGTTGGCCTGAGGGCAGGGGTTCTGCGTGTCACATTGGTGTCTATGAAAGCTGAGAGTTAGAATCACCACAGACAGTAAACCCTGAGGAATGGACAATTACCCCCAAAGAGTCAGTATTGCCAATCCAAGAGTGAGTGCATGCTGAGGGTGGTTGAGGTGTACAGCTTGTGGCCGAGACCACAGCCGGAGAAGGCCAGGAATACTGACCGCTCCTGGTGGGTGAAGGCAGATGCCTGAGAGTTTTGCTCCCTTGCATGAGCAGTGCCTTCAGCAGCAGACATGGTGGCTCATTTGCTCGTGCCAATAATCACCTTTTGCCACTGGGTTGGTGTCCTGCCTGGAATTATTTGCATTCTGTTGCACTTTCTTTTGTGGACCATGGTTGCTGTGTTTGTGTTTGTTAAAGGAAACTTGTATATACTTGTATATAGATTGTATGGCAGAAAACCCTGAGGCGGTGGAATGTAGGGTGTATAGTTTTCTGCCCTCCCACCATTAGGATTGCCCTGCCTGATGGGCACCTGCAGTTCTTACATTGTTGTGCTGTTTATTTCTGTGGGCCATGGGAGGAGTACATAGATAGTCACCAAGGGAAGCAAAAGCAGAGGCAGGAGGAAGAAGCAGGAGAGACACAGGAGAGAAAAGGGGAGAAAGAACACCAGAGAACCCAGCCAGAGTGAAGACTTGCCAGGGGCTTGGAGGCCTGTGACCTCCTGGCCCCTCCATCACCCCTGCCTGCCATGTATCTGGTAGCTGCATTACATGTAAATGCTCAATAAAAGACTGAGAAACCCACTGAGGGATCCAGGGCTCTCCTTTACCTGGTCTGCTCTGATCATAGAAAACCTGCTCTGTGCCCTTCCTGCCCCTAAAGGGGGAAAGGATGTCCTGTGCAACCTCATACAGGCTTTGTGGATGCCAACCCCAGTCCATCAAGTCACTGGGAACTACAAGTCCCATGATCCCCAAAGGGAAGTTGTGTGGACCTAAGGGCAGAGTTAAGCGGCCACATTCTCTGTTTGTAAATAAAATCAGCCCTGTTAGGGGGTTTTGGGGACTTGGCTCGTGCTCTCGTCCAGGCAGATTTGGTCTCGGAGGGTCATTGGGATTCCAAGTCGGAGGAACGGGTAGGACGCATTTAAGACTTTATCTCCCTTTTCTCCCTGAGTCATTAATTTCCTCATTCCCCTTCCCTTGTAAATAAACCTTTGTTAACCTTTTGTGGGTGCCTGCAGTGTGAGTCCCTTAGAAGCGGGTGGGTGAGGACCACAGTCCAGCAACCCGCTTTAGAGCGGGGCTGCCCTGAGACCCTCAGACTTCACCTGCACCCCCTTGTCTCCTCCTGGGGCACAACCTGTGGCCACCAGGGAGCGGTGCTGCCCGCCCAACCCTTTCCTAGCCCAGACATTCCCAGCAGACCCACCAGGCCCTGAGTGGCCATAGGGGTGTGGGGAAGACACCCCCCACATCTTCAGGGAACTTCCTGTGGCCCGAAAGGCCGAGGAACACGGAGAGCAGCGTGGACGGAGATGGTGGGGAGCAGGTGTGCTGAGCTGCCCCTGCCTAAGGGCTCGAGGCCAAAGTGAACAAGAACAGGGCTCCCGGGAGCTGAAATCCACCCTCGCCCCCCCCAGGCCCCCAGCCCCCCACAGCTGTCGGAGAAGGAGAGGACCCGGACCCAAAACGCATGGTGCCCAAGGTCTACCATGAGCAAGGAGTGCCCGGAGGACCAGCAGGGAGGGGTGGGAACTGGGGAGAAGGGTGGGGTTGGTGGTGGGTGACAGATGGGGGACAGATGGTGCCAAAGCCTTAAGAGCGAGGATGAAGCGGTGCTGGGAAGCACGGATGCGGGGCTCCCCTCACTCCTGAGAGCAGTCCCTGCCATCCTCCCGTGGTGCTGGGGCCTGAGAATCAGCCATGGAGAAAGAGCTGTTCAGTGTTTGGGAAAGGACTTTGGAAAAGGAAAAATCTGTACTTGTGGAGATGTCCCTGGCACTTCATTTATCTACAGGAACAAATGCTGGGAAACAACCTCACTGAAAACCCCAGGAGCAGTCCAAGAGTTCCGTATACATAAACTGCCACCGTGATCCCTAAAGAAATGGGCGTGCACGGTTCGTGAGGTGGTGCTATTCCAGCTTGGATAGAAAATATGAATGAAATGATCCAGTGTTCCTGTGCCATAGAAAAGGACACTTACTTGGCATTGAGTGGAATACTCTATGCAGTGAAATCACCAGCCTCTGGCCACAGCCAAGCCTGTGGATCGCCTCACCCACGTACTGTTGGGTGAAAGACCCTAGAGAGGAAAATGAACATAATATGATTTATTTAAATTTTAAACACCAGACAAAATAAAAAGCCTGTTTTTATTATACATTCAATAATACATGATTTTGTGGGAACGTGCCATGGTGAGCAAAGGAAACAGTGATTGAGAGGGTCTCCTATCGTGCAGACTCAGAGAAGCAGAGGATGGTATGTGATGTTGTGTTCCTTCATCCAGTGAAGGGGAGTTCATTTTGTGATTCTGAAATTCTACATGTATCCTACCTGCCCTTATACACGGGTGTTGCAGTTCACAATTCAAGGTATTGAAAATGACGAGGGTGATATTCAGCAATCTCATAAAAAGCATTTCTCTTTGGATGAAAAATCATAGCTGACCCTTGATCACTTTGGTTTTATTCTACCCTTCAAGTTTTCTAGAAGGTACACAGCTCTCTCTTAGGATGAACACATCATCAGGGCACTCACATCCCCGATCCTTGACAGGGGGAAAAGGACCAGTAACATGACGATTAAACTAAATAATTCCATTGTGGTCATACAAGAACTTTTCACAAGGCTAAAAATGTTGCCTTCCTGCTAGTTAGGCAGGCACGGGCAGAGTGGCTTCATGTAGAGAGAGAGTCAAGCTCACCTCAACTATTTCATTGAAGGGGTTTGTGTTTCTGGCCTGAACCTAGACTCCTGCTCATCTGTTAATACCAATAGACACATTTTACCTTTATTTTTTTTTAATTTCTAAAATTTTAAGTTTATTGTTTCACCCAGAAGCTTCATATTGATTTGATTTGGTTTTAAAAAAAGTGAAATAAGACACACTTTCAAAATCCAGACCCATCCAGCTTTCAGATACAAGTGTTATAAAAGCTGTGCACGTACATGTCAGTGGAAAGGAAAAAGGAAAAATGGTGAGTGGATCCACGATAATTCATAACACAAAATTTGAAATGATGGGAAGATCCTTGTTCTGACTAGTTCATTGCCTTTACGAAAACACAAACCAGAAAATAGGACAGAATATAATGAAATTCCTGTGTTCCCCATGAACTTGCACCACGTTGTAAGCCATCCCAGTGTCCTACCAAATGGCACCCTGTCATTTTCTGTCTCCCCCTAGAGCTCAGATCCTGAGGGCAGAAGAGGATCCACAGTCAACAACAAAGACAGAGGCAGCAGAACAGAGAGTTCCACTTTGCTGAAGTGCTGCCATGGGCTGACTTCCGGGAAGGCTTGCCACCCTACGAGGCCAGAATCACCATCAATTATGTGGGTGCTAAGACGCCAATGAGGAACTGAGGAAGGAAACAAAAACAACAAAAAAAAAAACTCTGCAAATGAGCAGAGCCATGTCAAGGGACCATAAGCACACCAACAATATCTAAAGTCCCTTTTTTAAAAAAGGAATTTTATCTTTACCTGAAAATATTTAACTCTAAACAAACTGACGTCAGCCGTCCGCAAAAGAACGTCATGAAGACACTGGCAATGTCTGTGCCACAGACTCGGGTGATGTCTGCCCATGCCCTGTATTATATTTGACATGGAGATTTTCAACAATGGCAATGAATGTTCTAGTCTAAAGCTCAACCCATCTGAGCAAAATTGAAATGGAACTGCGTACAGATGCCATAAAATGGACATCCTCACCTGCATCTCCACCCAAGGACACTTGAGCTTCCTCATGGATCTTAGAGTGTTGAGACCATCACCATCTCTGGAGGAAACGTGGGCTATGTGTCTCTACTTCACTTGGAACGTCCACACTGCCTTGATGCAGCAGGACTGTGTGCGGGTGTCACCACCATGAGAGATCCCATCTTCCCCTGTCAGGGTTCCCCCAAGACTTGGAGAGAAGTTGTGTCTAGGCTGTGGACCTGGAGTGGGGGAGGGGAGCAACCTGGTCCTGCAGAACCCAGTAGGGGAAGCACCCACTGTGCTTTCATCTGGGCAGAAGGTGAGCCCAGAGGGAGGGTGAGGAGCATCTCCCTGTGGGTAGCTGAAGACAGAGTGGGTGGGAGGGGTGCAACGGTCAGGAGGACCCAGGGGAGGGAGAGCTGAATGTGGAAAACCACCAGGCTCTGGCAGGTTGCATTTTGGGCATGGAGGAGCATAGAGGTCCAGATTCATTCCTGAGCACCCCTTGGGTCAGAACCCACACTGTGAGGGGATCCCCAGGATACCCACAGGCATGGGAAGTTCTGATCACTGCTGTGCTCTGAGTGCTATGAGCAGAGGATACAATGGAACAAGGTAAAAATGCACCATGGTCCACCCAGGAGCCTCGCCCTCCAGCTGTGTCCACCACACCCCAGCTCCCACTGGAGCTGGTCACTGCCTGGGATGGAAGCTGCACAGACTCTCTGAGCACCTTCATCTTCCCTGTGGCCAGAAGCCCCACCCTGGGAATGCAACAACTGCCACCTCCCCTCTGTCCATGAGGGATTAGTGCCTGCCTGGAGGGTCACTGCTGGCATTGAGGACCCTGACAGTTGAGGGAGAGATGAGCAGGACTGCACCAGCAATTCCCACCCCCCCAGGACTGTGCTTCCACCTGCACTGAATAAGGAGAGAGAGGAATTAACTGACAAGAGCACCGAGAAGACCCTCTCAGCCAAAATAGAAGGTTCTAGGATCAGGTAGGCCCGGGGTGGGGGATATAGGTTTTTCCTCCTATATCTGAGCCTCAGTTTCAAGTATCCCCTGACCCAAGAGGTAGACACGATCCCTTCACCTGTTGTTGCCAAGCAACCACTGTCTGCTAGATGCCAAGGACAAGAGCTGAGCTGAGCCCACAGCTCTGAGCACCCTCAGGAGGCATCAGGGACACAGGGAACTTCAACAGATGCTGCAAGATTTGTGACAGGGAGCTTGAGATGTCACCGGTTTTCCCTGGAAGGAGCACCTGACACAGGAGGTTGTCAGAGAGGGGCCGCAGGCCTGAGACAGTAGGAGCCGATGGCAAGACTATTGCAAGCTTGTCTGGAGGCTTGGACTTTAGCCTGAGTGCGGACAGTGGGAGCCACTGAAGAGCTTTTAGAGGCTGTAAATAAATGACATGACACAACAGGTTGTCTTTTGTGAGGGAGCGAGGACTGAGGGAAGGACTGAAGACAGCCTTTGGGAAACATCTGGTTCCTCCCTTTCCTCTCCCCAGGAGGCAAAGAAAGGAGGACGTGATCCAGCCCACCCAGCACAGCAGGTACAATTTCTTGCCAGGTACAATTTCAGACACCAAGCCCAGCTTCAGAAAGGACAGTCAACGGATGAGTGGGTCTGGCCCTGCCTTGTCCAGCGGCTGGTGACCAGCCTGCAATCGAGGATTGTTGATTTCACAGACACAGGTGACCAGAGACGTGGCTCTAAGTTCATTATCAATTTCCTGTTTTCTAGTTGCATGTTTTGAATTTCCTGAATTAATTCCTCTGTTGGATTCCTTTATAAAGCACACTGGCACTATCCTGCAATTATGTCACTTGAGTGCAACATTTTCACTGGTGGCACATAAAGCAGATGTGAAAATGTCGGACTTACTTACAGTTTCATCCACGGAAAAGTGGAAGAATATCCTAATATTATATGATCAGCAAATTGTCATCTATTATATGATTAAAAGCCTTTGCCATTCAATCTGAAATATTCTTTCATCTCTAGAGAACAGACCTACTTTGTCTGTTTCAGAACTTATAGAAAATAACACCTTTTTAGAAATTATAGAAAATAATACCTACTTTTTTATTAACACTCTGTTTTATGAATGTTCCATAATTGGAAAATCGTAGCAAACCTAGGAGGGACTTCCCATTTGTATGCAATTTACAAATTCAGTGCAATTCCAATACCAAATTACAGTGGTGTTCTTCAATGAAATGGAACCAAAATGGTTCAAATTCACATGGGATCACAAAAACCTCTAGTAGCGATAGTTCTGACTAAAAGGGGTGGAGAAAGATGGTATTACATTCCCAGACATCAAACAATATTACAAAGCTGTTATAATGAAAACTTTATTGGAACATGAACAGACAGAGATAACAATGAGGAACTAACCTATGACACAGGAGCAAAGAATATACATTGGAAAAAGAATTGCCTCTTCCATAAATGGTGCTGGGGAAACTAGATTGCAACATGCAAAAGAATGGAGCTAGACCACTACCTCACACTATACACAAACCAACTCAAGTGGATGAAAGACTTGTTTGTGGAACCTGGCACCATAGAATACACAGAAGGGAACACAGTCAAACACTCCCTGACACAATCCTCAGGAATGTCTTTGAGGATTCTTCTCCAGAAGCAAAGAAAACAAAGGAAAATGTAAACAGTTGGGGCTCCATAAACCTAAAAATCTTCAGAACAGCAAGAGTCAATGATGAAAACAAAGAGACACCCTGCTGAATGGGAGAAAATATTTGCAAACCATATGATAGATGAGGGACTAATATCAAACACCTACAAAGAGCTTACACAACTCAAAAAAAAAAAACAAAAACCAAACAATCTAGTCCAAATAGTAGGCAGAAGTAAATGGACTCTTCTCCAAAGAAATGCAAATGGCCAACACGCACAGAAAAAAGGTTAAGCATCACTAGTATCAAGGAAATGCAAATCAAAACCACAGAGATGCCATCTCACAACAGTAAGAATGCTCCACATTAAAAAAAAACAAACAAACAGGGCCTCCCCGGTGGCGCAGCGGTTGAGCGCTGGGTTGCGAAGCTGCCCGCAGCCTCTGCAGCGCCGGTTCGATCCCCGGCTCTCCCCGGCCACCGGAGGAGGGTCCCACATGGTGTGCAGACCTCTCCTGCCGCCCGCTGCTCCCCTCAGCAGTGTGCTTCGGTCCTTCTGCCTGCTCTGCTCCCCGCTCTGGCTCTGGTGAATTCTCTCACCCTCCCGCGCTTCTGACTGTACCCAGTGCATGTATAAACAAAAAAACAAACAAACAAATAAATAAATAAAACATGCCTCTATTAGAAAACAAACAAACAAACAACAACAACAACAAAAACCTGGAAACAACAAATGCTGGAGGAGCAGTGGAGAAAAGGGAGCCTCCTACCCTGCTGGTGGGAAGGCAAATTGGTCTAGCTACTATGGACGGCTGTGTGGAAGTTCCTCAGAATACTGAAAATGGCTCTGGACATGATCCAGTGAGTCCACTCCTAGGAATCTACCCAAGGGACAAAAAAAAACTCAGGAAACCTGAACTCCTTTGTTTACTGCAGCACTATTTTCAATAGCCATGACACGGAAACAACTCAAATGCCACACAACAGACGAATGGGTTAAAATGGTGTGGTGTAGATATACAAGGCAATATTACTCATCAATGAAAACAGACACATTCATGCCACTTGTGGTGATGTGGATGGAGGTGGAAGGGATTATGCTGACCACAATAAATCAGGAGAAGAAATATCAGATGTGAAATACAGAGAAACTGAACAAAATGTAAAGAAAAAGACATCTCTAGCAGGCTGACAAAGAGCTGAGGTATCCAGCAGGAAGAAGGAGCGAGGGGATCAACAGAGGGGAGGGAAGAGCACAAGGGATTGTGGTGATGGGTCACAGCTGCTATGTGGTGGGAGCATTATGGGGACCACCCCTGGGGGAGAAACCAGAAACTAGACAAAAATGAACAAGGATATAAGAAAAGAAGAAAAAAAAAGAGAGAGATGGTCTTTAAGGACAGGGAAGATCCTAAAAAATAATAAGCAAATAAATGCACTTAAAGGCAGGCGGGAGGGGTCTCATCCTGAACAATACTGCAGGCAATGCAGAGGCATTCACTGCTCACCAGATCGAGAACAGATCTCCAGGAATTTTCTCTGGTAGGTGCAGCAATTAAGCCTGCTGTGTTAGAGAAAGTTAGAGAAAATGCTTTTTTTAAAGATTAATTTATATTTATACAAGAGCTGGGGTGCAGGCCAGAGGTGCTGCAGGGTGAGAATAATCACCAGAGGCAGAGTGGGGAGCTGAGTAGGCATACGGACTGAAATACACTGCTGGGGGGGAGCAGCAGGGAAATAGGAGAGGTCTGCCGTGCCATGTGGGTATCTACCTGGATGGCTGGGAATTGAACCCGCACCTCAGAGGCTGTGGACAGCTTCACAGCATTGTGGTCAACCCACTGTGACACTGGGGAGGCCTGAAAGGGCTATTTAAAAAAAAAGATTTATTTATTTATACAAGCACTGGGTACAGTCAGAAGCGCGGGAGGATGAGAGAATTTACCAGTGTCAGAACGGGGAACAGAACAGGCAGATTGATGAAGTACACTGCTGAGGGGAGCAGCGGGCACGGCAGGAGAGGTCTGTGCACCCTGTGGGATCTTCGCCTGCGGCCGGGGATCGAAACGGTGCTGCGGAGGCTGCGGGCAGCTTCGCAGCCCAGCGCTCAACCACTGCGCCACAAGGAGGCCCACCGAAAGGGCTATTTTTAACTGCAGTCTCTTATGACTAGCAATCATGTTTGGGATGAGAGCCATTCTAAAACTATTAAGTAATTCATGTTCAATATTAATGACAGCATCTTCACATGCTAAAATGATACTTGAAAGTTTTCTTCTGTCTCATTTTAGCCCAAGCTCCTTCCTTATGGAGGAGTACGCCCAACACCCACAGACCTGTTCTGAGGATGGACACAAACTCCTTCCCTCACCCGGCCTCCACGAGGGTTATAATTTACCATCATTATAAAACTGGTTCAGAACAAAATACAAAAATTTGGGGGGTCCAAAAATATCTGGCCCTTGTGCTTATTTTTTTTTATTTCAGAGAAGTTACTGATCCCTTTTGGACCACTGTGATCCCTTTTGGACCACAGTGTCCACAACTACAATGTAGGAATAATATCTCTTTAGCGTCATTAATGTAGATCACGGAACTAAAGCAATGAACATGTTGCACTGGTTCAGGTAATCTCCATCAGATGCTCAATAAAGGCCGATTCCTTTCTCCTTTCTAGAGAAATTCAACTTCTCTCCAAAGCAAGCATAACAGAGGAAGTGGTAACACATTTAAAAGTAAAGTGCATCTTTCCTCCCCACGCCCCGCCGGTGGGCTAGGGGTTAAATCCCAGTGCTGTCACCATGATGGCCTGAGTTCAATCCTCAGGTGGGAGTTGACCCACTAAGTGCAGCAGACATCTCCTGTCTCACCTGCTGTTCCCCTCAGAAGTATATATCAGAAGATCCTCCTGTTCTGCTACATACTCTGTCTCTGGTAAATCCTCTCACCCTCCCACAGTTCTGGCCTGCATTCCAGTTTTTCTATGCATTTTTTAAAAAGCTTTAAAAAAAGGGCCTCCCCTAGTGGCACAGCAGTTGAGTGCTGGGCTGTGAAGCTGCCTGCAGCCTCTGCAGCACAAGTTTGTTCCACGGCCACCGGGGAGGGTCCCACATGGCACAACAGGCCTCTCCTGCCATGCCCGCTGCTCTCCTCAGCAGTGTACTTCACCAGTCTGCCTGTTTTGTTTTCCGCTCTGGCTCTGGTGAATTCTCTCACCCTCCCACGCTTCTGATTGTACCCCAGTGCTTTCATAAATTATTAAATATATCTTTAAAAAAATCTTTAAAATAGACTCATAAAGGGGATTTTCTCCAAAATATCCAGTTCCCATGAGTCATTGTGGTTTACTCAATCCCTGAAATAGGAGGGATCCTTTTAGCACCATTATAGAGAAAAGATCTCAAGAGCTTAGAAAAGAACCATTCAGTGTCGAAGATGCTCCCCATTGAGAAAGTTTCCCTCCCTGTTAGTGACAGCGCCCAGGAGACCCTGCTGAAAGGATTTTTGGGTGTGTCCTTTAGTGATGCAGAGAGGGCCACTGCTTTCACTGCAAGGAGTTGGTTAATAATAACCCATTTTAGAAAACTAAACACTTGTAGCCACTGTGTGGCGGGCTGTGCGGCTCTTGGTCACTCAAGACTCAGAGAAGCCTGGATTCTCTTCAAGGGAGAGTGTAAAGTCGCCTCCTGAGGCAGTGTCCAGGGGGCCAAGGTCCCTCTTCCAGGCTCTGAATGACCACGTCAGCTGCACAACCTGGAAGCTGTGCCGCAGCCCTCACATGCGGGCCCAAGACCAGCAGGGGCAGCATCTCAGACCCCTTGTGAGAAATGCAGAGCCCCAGGCGCCAGCAACCCCGTGGGTCAGAACCTGTGCCCCGGGGACTCGGGAATCGACTCTGCCCTCCTGCCTGCTGGACCTGGGGTTGGTAGGCGGTGTCAGCCCCAGAGAAGTTTACAACATGTAAACTTATAATTCCCCAAATTATATTGTAAGTTCACAGAAATAAAACACAAAAATCATTGGAACACAGCTGGGTGCCCGGAAATCCCACCCCATGGGTAATCAGTGCAGCAGGGAGGCGCTGGGAGCAAACACAGGGGACGTGCTTTCCGTCAGGGGCGCTGGCCACCCACGGGGTCACACTCAGGAACGACCTGACCCCCATGTTCCTCCCCAAATGACCCAAAATGACCCGCGCAGAGCTCTGCACCCCCAACCCGCCCCGCCCCGGGTCCCCTGACTGGCCCCCCTGCACCAGCCACCGGCAGCGACTTGTCCTCACCTCCCTCTTGCTCCGGGTGGTTCCTGAAGAAACTGGGCTCCCGCACGCAAGAGCTTCACCCCGAGTCTGGAGCAGCGAGTGCCGAGGAGACCCCAGCAGCGGGGGAGGCGGGAGCGGGCGCAGGGCCAGGGCGGCAGGGGCGGGCCCAGGGCCGGGCCAGCGGGAGAACCCGGGGGCTCACGGGGCGCCCCCGCCCGTCCTGCTGCGCCGAAGCTCAGAAAACCCAACTACACGGAGGCGAACACCTCGCGTCTCCACGACGCCGTTAACGTAGAATTTCCACGCGACTCCACAGCAAGTCGCGCCCGTGACTGAAAACACGCGAGGATCGTTCACCCGCGACCCCACAGGCCCGAACCCGCTGCCGCCACCGGGAGAGACGGGGCGTCCCGCCCCCCATTATTCCCTGCCTCGCCCCGCCCCGCCCCCAGCCGGCGCGCTCCCCGCCTGCGCGCTGCCCCCGGGGCTGCTCCCTCCTCGGCCCGCAGCCCTGCTCCGCCAGGGCGGGCGCTTCCGGCTCCGGGTCTCCACCACTTCCGCTCCAGCGTCTGCGCGCAGGTGAGTGACGTCAACACGCAGGGGGCGGGGCGTGGCCGAGGACTGACAGGCTCGCGGGGGAACCAGGCACAGAGGTGCGGCGCGCGCCGCCTGGTGGCTGGGGCGGGGCGGTGTTGCCCAGGTGGGATAAGGGGGCCAGAGGCCCCAGGCCTGGCCAGGGGATGCAGGGGGGATGGAGCCGGGGCCGAGGGGCGGGTCAGCCCCGCCAAAGGGACACACCGCCATGGAGAGTCCTGGAGGGGGGACGCCCACGCAGAGGGGGGGCAGGTAGAGGGAGTGTGTGACGTCAGAGCTTTCAAGGTGGGGAGATAGAATGACGTGGAGGCAAGAACCCGCTGAAACAGTTTTCTTGCTCATTCAGAAAACTCTCGTATCACCCTTCTGTGGGGAACTTTGACTTCAGCTATTGGAATTTGGAATATTATATATATGCGTGTGCTTTAAAAGATATAGTAATGCTTTTTTGAGAAATGACCTCAGGAAATGTGGTGAACACAAATAAAAATGTATGTCCGTCAAAATGCTAACCAGCACTTGCTTGTACTAACAAATACAGGAAACGATCTCCATCAGAACTCGAGGAAACTGTCAAATATGTGACAATAAAAGTAGCAATTAGGTATCGTCATTCTGAATAGTTATCAATGACTTGCAAAACACTTATGTTATAACATTTAATGAAAAAACTATACAAAATTGCAAATATAGTGTTATTCCAGCATGGATATAAAATTTTTATGAAATAATATACTGTGCATGTAGAACAGAAGAGAGATGTTACTTTGCATTTGGTGGAATAATATACAATAGTGAAAACACAGTATGTGGGTCACCTTGCCTACATGTTGTTGAGTGAAACAGTCAAGATATAAAATGAACATATCATGACTGATTTAAATTTTAGATACCAGACAAAATTGAAATCGTGTTAATCATGTGTGTCAGTGACACACTTAGGTGATGAATTGTCATGAAAGGCAGGGGGAATACTTGTAATGACAGCCACACATTTGTGATTACTCGGAGATGAAGATTATGATAGTGTGGCCTTGTGTTTCTTCACCCAGTTAATGGAGTCATGTGGTAATTCTGAAATTTCACGTTTATACTATCCAGGACCCTTGCACACAGGTGTTTCAACAGTGAGTCTTCCCTTAACCCAGGAAGGGCAGCTCACCTCTTCTAATTACTCTCGTTACCTCAACTGTCCGAGTGACTCTCAGCCATCAGTGATATCCCGTTTAATGTGCTCTTTACCCAGTTGCACACAACAGATACAGCACCCAGAGCAAACCTAGAATATGTGTTCCTTTCTTCACTGAGATCAACCACCTGCCCTTGTTCCATGGAAATCTTGTGATCACCCCATAGGAATAGAGGATATTACCACATGTGACACAGACACCCACAAATAGGATGCCACAGAAACACTGAAAGTGATGGATGGCCTGTTACAACCTTACTGGAATCAGGTTATGTTCAAGTGTGTGATGATTATAGATCCATTCTGGTGATTTCTTTTTCCCTAAACACACTCTAAAATATGATTTAACAAAAGAGAGAGCTAGCAGGATTTTGGAGTTTATTTTGTTATAAAATTATATTTTATTTATCCTTTGTGCTAAGCTATAATTTATAATCTTTTTAAAAGATTTATTTTATTTATTTATGCTACAAGAACTGGGATGTAGGACAGCATTACAGGGAGTGAGAAAAATTCACCAGAGACAGAGTTGGGAGCAGAACTGGCAGATCCACTAAAATACACTGCTGAGGGCAGCTGCCCCTCCCCCATGAGCCATGTGGGTCAGCTCCCTGGAAAGGTCAAACTCGTCCTCCAGTAGCCATGGATAGCTTTATAGTACTGAGACTTAACCCCTCTATCACCAGGGGGGACCCTATAGTTTGTAATCTTCAGAAATTTAAAGATACATTAATGAATCTCTTTTCTTTTTCTGAAATTACAAAAAGGAATAAACAAGGATATATATGGGGAATAATTGTATATACACACAGGGTGACTGATTCCAATATCCACTTGCAGAGTCACTGTCTCCTACCAATAGACAAAGAGCTTACTGTTTTATTTTTTTAATTCTTATTTATTTGTGCATGCAAGAACTGGGGTACAGGCCAGAGGTGGTGGGCTGAGAGGATTCAGCAGAGAGAGCAGGGAGCAGAATAGGTGACTGACAGAAATACACTGCTGAGGGCAGCAGTGGGGGAGAGGAGAGGTCTGCTCTGCCATGTGGGTCACCTCCCTGGCCGGGGATCGAATCCCTGATGTAGTAGCTACGGATTACATCATAGTGCTGATGCTTAACCACTTGCACCACCCAGGAGGCCCGAGCATACATTTTTAAAATTGAATGGGAAACCAAAAAGTAACTTTTTTCCAAATCTAGCCTGATGGTTTTGTCACACCTCCCAAGTTGTCAGTCCTCAGCCCTGATCATTGGTAAGTGGGGAATTCCTGATGTTGCTGGGAGCCTCCATGTGTGCACGGGAACTAGGGACAAGGGTCACTTGGGCCGCATTGGGACAAAGGGACAGCAGGGCCTGATCCTCACAGAGGACGTGCACCCGAGCTGGGGTGTCTGCCAGTCGATGGTACGTTAAGGTGTAAATCTACTCTGGAGAAAACATAGTTTATTTGCATCAAAGGCAACTTTTTCCCAAGTTCTGTGATCGACTCTCTGGTTCTTCAGTTAGTGCTTAGTGAGCACTGTCCCAGCTGCTCTTCCTCTTTAGTTTTTACAATCCTGAGTCTCTGGTCGCTCGTGCTCACTGTCCAGTGTGTACCCCCACCCTGCTGCACAGAGCAGAGACTCCCCCACAGGAAATCTAAAGCTACTCTCACCTGAGCGCCACCCCTCCCAACCCGAATCCGGTCCGATGCCCTGCGGGGTGTCCCAGGGAGTGCTCCACAGTATAGGTCATTCACTCTGATCTTCTCAGGCCACAGCCTCTCCAGAATGGGGGCAGGGGCTGTATTTCATGAAGAGGGGATAGAGTTTACACACGGACGTGTATCTGCTATTTTTAAAAAGGTCCGTGAAAACACGGACGGGAATAAAAGACCACACGTGACATTGTGGATGGACCTGGAGACGTGGACACTGTCCACACACAGGGCAGCCGCCTGCAGAGAGGCGGACAGGGGCGGGGACAGGTCTCTCCTGGCGCACCCCAGAGGAGCACCCTGAACTCTTGCCTCTGACAAGTCTGCCTCCTGCACTCTAGGCGGAGAGAGAATATTCCTGGGACAACACAGGCATCCCCAGGGCATCAGGATTGTGTCGTGCCAGCGCCCCTTGCTCGCAGACTCTCGGCCCCTTAGCAGCAACTCCCTGGGGGACGAGCCTGAGACCCCCGCGCAGACCTGACCTCGGAGTCCGACCCTCTGTGTCCGCGATGGTCCGAGGTATCCAGGGGCCCAGGGCAGCCAATGTGGGGTCCCCGGGTTCTCTGAGCAGCGACCTCAGTGGCTGAGGCACCTGGCCATGCTCCCCCAGCCTGGCCCCACCTCCCTCCCGCCGCCCCCTCCTTTGCCGCCAGGGGGCGCTGCCCTGCCACAAGTTAGGCGCCTGGCCAGAGAAATTCCGTCAGTCAATCCCCAAAATTTTTGTCCACACCCAGGCCTTGTCCAACATAACTTTGGGTAATGAACAACTCAGGCTCACATTTTTCACCTCAGGACATTGTAAGAGTTGTTATGCTGTTATTCCTTTCTACTGGGTAACTCATATATAAATACTTCTTATTTATTTATTTTTTTACATAAAATGATAAACAAAGTTTAGATTTCCTATATTAAGAAGCAAAATATAAACCAAAAGCTCATTAAGTAGTCAAATTTTCATTTTATTGAACTTAGGAGATCCTTAGTTTTATAGGAGAAATATACCACCACGTAAATAATGATAGAACAAATTTAAGATAGAGAAACCAGAAGAAGCTCTAGTTTTTCTTAGGATGCGAAGTTCAAAATGCAGCATTACAAATGAAACAAATTCATATGCCAGAGGATTTTTGTTTATTTTATTTTTTTTGCTAGGACAAGGGGAGGAAATATCAATGAAGGTGCTCACCAGTGCTTTAATTAAACCATTGCATTTTGAAATCGTTTTTGTGGTGGAATCCCTGGTGGTGCAAGGGGTTAAGCACCGCACTATGAAGCAATCTACAGCCTCTGCCGCACGAGTTCGATACCCAGCCAGCCAGGGAGAGACCCACATGGCGAGGCAGACCTCTCCTGTCTCACCTGCAGCTCACCTCAGCAGTGTACTTCAGTCAATCTACCTGTTCTGCTCCCTGCTCTGTCTCTGGTGAATCCTCTCACTCCCCGCATCTCTGGCCTGTATGCCAGCTCTTGTATGCATCAATAAATAAATCTTAGAATATATAATGGCACCATTTTAACCCGGCAACCCTCTGGAGACAAAAGACACAAAGGTGAAAACACACACACAGATCTCTCATTTAGATTTTGGACCATTGCACTAATTTTTAGAGAAAGTTATTTTACCAGTATTTATGACAAGACTGACAACAATTACTAATTTATTTTTAAATGTTTTTATTT